GCCGTGCCGTGCCGTGCCGCTGCGGGATGAGAGCCGGGAAGGGGAGCGAGTCAGCGGGAACCTCTCAGAAATGTGGGTGGTGCTGGAGCCGGGATCCGGGGGAGCGCAGAGCCAGGCGGGGATGGAGCCTCAGGGCTGGGATTTGGGTGGAAGTAGGGGTCTTATCCTGGCTGGGGAAGGGGGAGCTCTGGCCACCCTCGAGCCTTCTGCAGGTTTGCCTGGGTGCCAGTACTGCTGTGACCTGTGCTGGGCGACACCCACACGGGACTGAGCCATCCTGCTCCAAGCCCCAGTGCTGCCCCCTCCCCTTTCCCTCGCAGCCTTTTCCCTATCCCAGGATTCCCTCCCTGCTAGCGAGGCCCCGGCCTTGGGCAGGAGGGTGGCCGAGCATCCCTGCGCAGCGAGGGCAGTGCTCAGCAGGCCCACACTGAACAGACTTCAGCAGCTTGGCGCAAGCAAACTAAGGGCAGTTGCTTAATAACCTGCTCACGGCCCTTCACTGGCCTTGCAGGGTTAATGGGTAAAAAGATGCATTGTTCTCAGCCAAGGCAGAAGCTGGGCTGTCATGCCTGCCCAGGAGCTTGTGCTCTGCATTATAATGCCAGCAGCGGTGGCACTGATGGGGCCAGAGGGCTGCTGCCAGGTCTGGGCATCACACGTGTCGTGGAGTTAAGCTGAGGCCTCTCAGGGCCCAGCTCCACAAGCCGTGGTAGCCTCAGTTAGGCTTTGGGGCAGGACCCTGACCTTGTGGCTACACACAAGGGAAAGCAGCCGAGAGGTTTAAGTGTGCTGGGGAATGCAACGTGCATTAAAATTGAGGTCTGATCACTTCACTGCCCTGGAAATTAAGCAACGGTTTTAATAAGATGCTCTTCTGTCTGTGAGGGTGTTTGCTAGCATTTCCTAGAAGCCCCAAGACTCATGGATATACAGGAGCGAGAGGGAATGGCAGCGCTCATGTTGGTCCACATGCAGGTTCCCCCTGTCCCCAAGTGTCTGGCCAGGTGCTGCAGAGCTGGGTGGGGGGAGCCCAGGCAGGGCAGTGATGGGAGAGTATCAGAAATTATCAAAGCACTATAATTAATGAACTGGTCTTCAATCAGCGGGGGAAGCCTGACAGTTGTCTGTGTCTTCCTCACCCAACGGGCCCCAGCCCATGGCTGGTCCCTCCGTGCTTCCGAGGAAGACGCGGGATGGGAGCAGGCAGCACGCAGGGATGCAGTGCGGTGGCACCCAGCCCCACTGCCATCCCACAAACTCCCCTCTCCGCTGGCAGGTGACCTTGGACTCGTCAGGAGGATGGCAAACTCAACACAGGGCAACAGGGACCTTCCCAGTGCAGAGCTCTGGGCCTCCCATAACAGGATGGTAATGGAGCCGCTTGACAGCAATGACCCGGAGGTGAGAGTCCCTTCCTGGCCCCTACCCAGCAGCTGCTTCGTTCATCCCCTGGGCAGCCGTGGGGCTGTTGACCTCCTCGAGCGAGGGATATGGCAGGGAGACATTCCAAGGCTGAGCTGGTGCGACCCATCCACCCTCTGTGCCCTCTCTGCCTGCAGCAAGACAGGGAGAGGATGGGGATCCTCCGACCATCTGCAGATAACGTGGTCTTAACTTCGCATCTGTTGCTCATACCCCTCTGCTTGAGGAGCTCTGATGTCCACACCAGAGCAGCCACCCTGCCAGGCCACCTGGTCGTTGCCCTTGACTCTGGAGCCCAAATGACAGCTGAATTATCTGGCAGCTTTCTGGCAGGAAGAAACCCAAAACACAGCCTGTGACTGGACATATGAACTGTTTGGGATCAGCTGTACCGAGAAGGGATGGCATCTCCCTTCTCTAGCACCTTTCCAGGCCCCTCTCCATGCCCTGTCCCCTCTGAGGGTACATCCCCTGTGGCGGAGCATCCGTGTCTCCGTGCAGAGCCGGCATGGGTGAAGCTGTTTCTCTCCCCTCCCAAAGGTGCACAGCATCATCAAGAAGGAGAAGCAGCGGCAGAGGCTGGGGCTGGAGCTAATTGCGTCGGAGAACTTTGCCAGCCGAGCAGTCCTGGAGGCCCTGGGATCCTGCATGAACAACAAATACTCCGAGGGCTACCCAGGACAGAGGTAAGGGGCTGGGGCTGAGTTCCACCCAACCCAAACCCTCACAGGGAGGGAAAGGAACCACCCACGCCGCCAGACGTCACCTCTGGGAAGGAAGCGATGTCCTTGCCCTGGCTGCCAAGCTCCTCCAAGGCAGGATCTGACCCTCTCCGCTTCCATCCTTGGCCACACATGGAATCATCTCAGCAGCTGCTGTCCCACAAACATGGCATGACCCCGGTTTCTCCCCAGCTTGGTCACAGGGACTGTTCGAAGTGGTAAAGCTTGGGTTTAACCCCTGCCCCGTCCTTTACCGGCAGGTACTACGGCGGGACGGAGTTCGTAGATGAGCTGGAAAGGCTGTGCCAGAAGCGAGCCCTGCAGGCCTACCAGCTCGACCCCCAGAAGTGGGGTGTCAACGTCCAGCCTTACTCAGGTAATGGGGTGCTCAGGAGAGCCAGGCCGGCTGCACCAGCCCCCATGTGTCCTGGCACTCATAACCGGCCCGGTGTGCTCTCGCTGCAGGGTCACCCGCAAATTTTGCGGTGTACACGGCCCTGGTGGAGCCCCACGGCAGGATCATGGGGCTGGACCTGCCCGATGGGGGCCACCTCACCCACGGCTTCATGACAGACAAGAAGAAGATCTCTGCCACCTCCGTCTTCTTCGAGTCCATGCCCTATAAGGTAAAGAGAGCTGCTCCAGCTGGAGGCAGGATGCCGTCCTCATCGGTGTTGGTGCCTCTTAAGAGTACTGGCGTCACAGTCCTGGCACCTGCTCCTGCGAGATGTCATCTTCACCCGCACCAAGGTGGCTGAACCCTTCTCTTCCTCTCCCAGGTCAACCCCAAGACCGGCTACATCGACTACGACCAACTGGAGGAGAACGCCCGCCTCTTCCACCCCAAGCTGATCATAGCAGGTAAGGCTCAAACCCTTACCCACCTCCCTGGTGACACACCCTGGGGGAAGGTGGCTCCCTGAAGCCAGTAGCACCGTGGTAAGCCCAAACGCTTCAGCGCCAGGAGGAGACCTCTAACACACCCACACTGGCGTGAGCTTGTGGGCTGTCCCCAACTGGGCTGTCCCCATTGAAGGGGTGGACTTGGGTCTGTCCCAGGGTCCTCACGCATCTGCTCCTGTCCCCTCCACGTGCCTTCTCCCTGCAGGGGTCAGCTGCTACTCGCGCAACCTGGACTATGCCCGCATGCGGAAGATTGCTGACGCCAACAGCGCTTATCTCATGGCCGACATGGCCCACATCAGCGGGCTGGTGGCTGCCGGCGTGGTGCCCTCCCCCTTCGACTACTGCGACATCGTCTCCACCACCACCCACAAGACCTTGCGGGGCTGCAGGGCCGGCATGATCTTCTACCGCAAAGGTGCCTGACCTGGCTGGGGAGCTGGGAGGAACGCTCCCTGCAGCCCCGGGGGGACTGCGAGTTAAAGTTCCTTCCTGCTCTAGCTGGGAAGGAGGGAGGGCAGGAAGGTCTGGGGCCTCCTGGGAGCATCTAGGGAGCTTCCCAGAGCCAAACTGTGGCCCAGATTGGAAGAAGAGCAACCACCACCCCTGCTCTGAGAGGCCAGGGGGTGAAAGCAGCTCACGGGAGAAGGGCGTCTGTGCTGCCTCATGAGTGACCCTGCCCTCCCCTCCCACAGGGACCCGCAGCGTGGACCCCAAGACAGGCAAGGAAACCCTCTACAACCTGGAGAGCCTCATCAACCAGGCGGTCTTCCCCGGGCTGCAGGGAGGCCCGCACAACCACGCCATTGCAGGTACACGTCTGTGCCGGGCTGGCCGCAAGCTCCGGGAGGGCAAAGGGAGCCGGCAGAGAGAGCCTGGCTGGGCTCTGACCCCCAGCAGCAGCGCGGGGGGCTCCAGCTGCCCCGAGGGGCTCGCAGCCTGGAGATACCACGGCAAAGAGCAGTTGGCTTGATCCGGCATTGCCCGAGGAGCCACCAGGCTTGTCCCATGCTGCCTTTTGGCTCATGGTGACACCGCCAGCCTGGTCAGGGGAAGGGACTGTCCATCAGTTTGCCCAGCTTCCAGGATGACTTCTGCTGGTGGTGCCGCACATCCCCGCCACCTCTCCCGGCGGGAGCCCCCCAAGACTCACCCCGGTCTGCCTCCCTCCCCAGGGGTCGCCGTGGCACTGCGGCAGGCCATGACGCCCGAGTTCAAGGCCTACCAGCAGCAGGTGGTGGCGAACTGCAAGGCCCTTTCGGCGGCGCTGATGGAGCTGGGCTACGACATCGTCACGGGTGAGGACAGGTCTTGGTGGTGGGATGGGGCTGACCCCCCCTGGGTGCGAGCCAGGCCACGAGGGCAGCACGTGGACGGACGCGACGGGCAGGGCTCCGCTGCCGCAATTCCTCAGGACCTCCACTTTGACGCAGGCCCCCTTCTGCCCCCAAAACCAGGGGCAGGCCCCGGTGCAATCCCAAGCCTTTTTCGCCAAAGTTTCACGTGGGAGTAGCGTTTAACCCCCCCATCCCACATCCCTCACCAAACCCTTCCCTTTGCAGGGGGCTCCGACAACCACCTGATTCTCCTGGACCTGCGCAACAGAGGCCTCAGGACCTCCACTTTGACGCAGGCCCCCTTCTGCCCCCAAAACCAGGGGCAGGCCCCGGTGCAATCCCAAGCCTTTTTCGCCAAAGTTTCACGTGGGAGTAGCGTTTAACCCCCCCATCCCACATCCCTCACCAAACCCTTCCCTTTGCAGGGGGCTCCGACAACCACCTGATTCTCCTGGACCGGCGCAACAGAGGCACGGACGGCGGTCGGGCCGAGCGGGTGCTGGAGATCTGCTCCATCGCTTGCAACAAGAACACGTGCCCCGGTGAGGGATCCCACAAGCTCCGCCGCGTCCTGCCCCGCACCCTGGGGATCTCCCACGGCCTGTGCGGGGCTTCCTCCAGGGCTCCCACTCCACCCTGGGCGCTGCCGAGCTGCCACACGCGGCAGTTTCGGTACCTGGTTGGGTCACGAGTGACTTGTTCTGGTGCAGGTGATGTCAGCGCCCTGCGCCCCAGCGGCCTGCGGTTTGGGACCCCGGCGCTCACCTCCCGCGGCTTCCAGCAGGATGACTTCCGCATGGTGGCCCAGTACATCCACAGAGGTGAGGCCAGGGGATGCCGACAGGGCTGAGTCTCGGCTCCAGCAGCAGCCCCGAGCCAGGGCAGCTCCTCCAGGCAAGGAGGCACAAGCTGGGCGGCTTCCCCAGCAGCTGGCGAGGGAAAAGACACACACAAGGGAGGAGTAACTGTCCCAACCTGCACGTCTGGATGTGGGAGAGGACATCTGGTCACAGCTGGGAGCAGCCAAACCCTCCCCACCGCATAGGCTGCAAGCCTGCACCTTTCCCAGTCCAGTTCCAGTTGTCCCCAGGGGTCTGACACTGGTTTCCCAGGGACAGCAAGTCCCTCAAACCCCTGCTCCTTCCCTCCCACGTGTCTCGGGGAGCAGCCCCAGCGCTGTTGCGGGGTGCCGCAGGGCTAAGCCCACAGCCCAGCCTCGCAGGCTCCCTGCAGCAGGGCTGCGAGATGCGGCAGCTGCCCGCTGCGGGCGCAGGCAGGGGCGTTGCAGGGCTGACCGAGGCGTCTCCCATCCCGGCAGGGATCGAGCTGACGCTGCGTGTGCAGAAGGACATGAGTCCCAAGGCCACGCTGAAGGAATTCAAGGAAAAACTGGAGGAGGAGAAATATCAGAGGGAGCTGAAGGCACTGAAGCAAGAGGTGGAAGCCTTCGCAGCGACCTTCCCACTCCCGGGGCTGCCTGTCCTCTAAGGGCAGGCACCCGTGCCCGCTCCGGGGGCCGCAGAAGTACCCAGGATGGAGGCACGCTGGCACCCCCAGCCCGGACCAACACCCCAGTGCCTTCTCCCAGCACCTCCCCACTGGCACTGGGTGCGGTGCAGCAGCGGCTCCTTCTTTGGCTCTTCCTCACCTCTCCCCTCCCATTTGGGGCACAGGACCCCCCTGAGCAACCCCCCCCTCTGTGGGGAAACCACCCCTTTCACCCTTCAACGTTTCAAGTGGGACCAAGCACCACGTAAACCCTCAGCCCCCCGGCCAGGTTGGCTCCCGCTCTCGCTGGCG